AAAAATCATCACAATTTAATAACAATTTTAAAGGGAAATTAAAAAATTTACAATGTTTTATCTCCTTCAGATACTTGTTTCCCTTTTTCATACTCATCTTTATCCTTGTGCCCACACATTTTTATTGAATAAATCATAATGTGGGAATAGTTTTATGTTTTCTTTTGACATTATATGTAATGTTTTGCTTATTACAATCTTTATACTTACATATTTTAATATTTAGTACTTCAGTTACTTAATGTTCCCTATTTTGTTAATTATATTGTTATTCTTTGCATTCATCTTGAATATAGTAAGTAAGTAATGGTGTAGGGAACAACTTAATGTAAATTTTTTCTCTCTTGTTTTTGTTATTTTCTTAGAAATGGGATTGTTTGTTCAAAGGGTATGAGTATTTATATAGCTTTTGGTATTATTGCCTGTACATAACTTAGAAATCTCCTCTACCTTGATCCATGACAGTGAAAAAGAAGGAAGAGATAGAAAAAAAGACAAACAGCATTTGAAAAGGAAAAAAGAATCTGATTTACCATCAGCTATTCTTCAGACTAGTGGTGTTTCTGAATTTACTAAAAAGAGAAGCAAACTGGTACTTCCTGCCCCTCAGGTAATCTAATAAAAGCAGTTTTTTCATTGTGTGGATTTATATGCTTATAGTGTTTATTTAGCAGATATTTGTGTACCAGGCTTGTGCTGGGTGCCCTTGAGAAATTCATAGTCTAGGCTGGGCGCGGGGGCTCGTGCCTGTAATCCTAGCACTTTGGGATGCTGAGGTGGGGGGACCATTTGAGCCCAGGAATTTGAGACCAGCCTGGGCAATAAGGAGACTCCTGTCTCCACAAAAATTAAAAAAATTAGCTGAGCGTGGTAGTGTGTGCCTGTAGTCTCAGTTACTCGGGAGGCTGAGGCAGGAGGCGTGCTTGAGCCCAGGAGTTTGAGGCGATGCGCTATGATCATGGTGCTGTACTCTAGCCCTGGCAACAGAGTGAGACCGTGTCTCAAAAAAAATTCATAGTCTAATGTGTGAGCCACGCATAAAAATAAGTCATTTTAATATAGTATGATAAATACGCAACTTCTTTGTGTAAATTATTATATCAGCTCTTAAACTGCTTGTAGTATAGTAAATAATTATCAGATCTTGACAATTCAACAGTAGGTTAGGGTGCCAGGCCTCTTTTTTGAATCTGACTGGGACAGAGGTGTGATTTGGCTTTGTGGACTTTAAGCTGTGACCTTTCGGGGTATGTTTTGTTGTGTCATGCTTTTCCTTTTGAGAAAACAGCTGTGAAAATCAATGTGGGAGTTGGGGAGAAGTGAGATAAATACATTCCCTCATTCAGCTTATTGCAGGCTCTATTCCTTTGACTTAATTGTGGTTGGTCAGAAACATGGGGGCTTTGAATAACCTTTTGAGTAGTACAGCTCCGTAAAATTGGACAAGTTTAATGGAGCAGAAGAAAGGACTTAGGAGACCAGAAGAGCTTCTTTCCCCAAATGAGTGCATTGGCTGCATCAACACAAAATTCTTAGGCATAAACATAAACTTATTTTGTCATGCTGCTATTCCTACTACTGATATTTCTTAAATTGAAATTTTGCCTGTAATTTTTTTCTTAGTACTTAGGGTATTTATCTAACATACCTTTAGATTTTTTAGGGATCTTGTGGCTTACTGGACTCTGTGTGATATTTTAATTGGTTTCCCTCCATATTGATACATAGTTTTGTACAAACACTGTTACGTTCTTGGTACGTTGATATGTTGGTTTGAAAGAATTTCGATTCAGAGAGACAACCTTTGCAGCTTGATTCTATATCATGTGATTTTTTTTTTTCTCTCTCACATTATATAGGGAAAGCTTTTAAAAACTTTATTGTGGAAACTTTCAAAGCCACAAAAAATGAGAGTAGTTAAGTACAGTGAACCCCTTAGTACTCATCACAAAGCTTCATCTTTCTGGAATATGGAAATAGGAAGTTATGTTGGTTCTCAGTTAAAATGTTGCTTACTATGATAATTGTGTCCTTTTAGATTTCAGATGCGGAACTCCAGGAAGTTGTAAAAGTAGGCCAAGCGAGTGAAATTGCACGTCAAACTGCTGAAGAATCTGGCATAACAAACTCTGCTTCCAGTACTCTCTTGTCTGAGTACAATGTCACCAACAACAGCATCGCTCTTAGAACACCACGAACGCCAGCTTCCCAGGACAGAATTCTGCAGGTAAGGTGTCATAGTAGAGTAAGCCTTTCACTTTGTTTATTGTCCTTAAAAGTATTGTGAAAGAGGCCGGGCGCAGTGGCTCATGCCTGTAATCCTAGCTCTCTGGGAGGCCGAGGCAGGCGGATTGTTTGAGCTCAGGAGTTCGAAACCAGCCTGAGCAAGAGGGAGACCCCGTCTCTACTAAAAATAGAAAGAAATTAATTGGACAACTAAAAATATATAGAAAAAATAGCCGGGCATGGTGGTGCATGCCTGTGGTCCCAGCTACTCAGGAGGCTGAGGCAGGAGGATCGCTTGAGCCCAGGAGTTTGAGGTTCCTGTGAGCGAGGATGACGCCATGGCACTCTAGCCTGGGCAACACAGTGAGACTCTGTCTCAAAAAAAAAAAAAAGTATTGTGAAAGAGAGTATTAAGTGGTTTGGTTCTATTTCTTTTAGGGTAAACAGTTTGAAACTGAGTTCTAATGCATAGATCCTAGAGCATTTCTGTAGTAGAGAAGCTAAATCAGTAGATTCCTGATCAGGTGGTTTTATTTCTACATTTATTAGTTCACAGCTTTTTGAAGCCAGCCCTTCTACCTCCATTGGTCTTTTGTATGTTAGTAAAGCATGGCATTTCAAAATTTCACGTTGCCTAGCAATCTTAGAAAGATATCAGATGTGTGTAGGTAGTAATTTTTAGAACTTCCTTGCATTTCTGTACTTAGCTTGGCGTAGTATGTCAGCAGTACCACTTTCTTCCCTCTCTTTAACACATGGTGTATGTGTGTTCCCAGGGCGTCTGCATACCGGAGACTACTCAAGCCTACGAAACGTTGTGGAGTCATTTAGTACCTTTACATCTGATTTCTTCTTCTTTAATAGTCAAGAATATAATTTGAAAGCCTTGATTCAAGAGTCAAATAGCTGTGGAAGGCTTAGCAAGAAAACAGTTGTGCCCCTCATCACTTGCTCCTTAGAGGCACCAGTTATAACTCTTTGTTTTTACTCTCCTGTTGTGGACACGCTTGTTACTTGATTGCTTTCAGTTTCAGGCATTATCTGTTGTTTTTCCTCATCGAATTTGACATTAGGCTCTCTCACGCCCTCTGTCTCATGATTCATACACTTTTTCTATTCCTCTGTCTTGCATTATAATTGTATCATATTTTTGGTTAGCTTTATATGCATGGTTTACCTTATGACTCCAAATCCTGTTCATTGCTGAGCCATGAAGTACTCTGTAATTTGTAAAAATTATACAAATATGTAATATTTATTATATATTGCATAATGTGCTTTGCTGTGAAGTATTTTGTTTTTCTTGGGAGTTAATACTTGCTTTATGTTTGATTTATTTGTAGATTTTCTCAACTTTATTCAGGATTTAAATTTCTACTGTCATATATTTAATTTTTTAGAGCTCTTTTTAAAATGTGTTCAGTATTTTTTTTTTAACATCTCCTTATTTTTGTGA